TAAAGTAAGAATTCATCGTGCTGTCGGCTGGATTTGAAATAAAAGAATAGTGACCTTTTTTTATTTCTAACGTTTTTGCCATTTAGTCTATGTTTCGTTCGTTCAAATCTTATCGCGTAATCATTTTTAAAAAAAAGAAAAAAAATTCAGCCCAAGCAGAGAAAATAATGTTTTTGTTATATTTTATTTACTGATTGTGAAAGAATTTCGATTACAAAAAGAAGAAAAACATTATTGAGGAGAGACAACATTAAAAGCAGAGGAATTAAGAAGAGAGAAGATTGCATTTAAATTTTTGAAGATCAAAGCTGTCTGGAAAGCAAAAAGCCGGAAGAGAACCGCGAGAGAAAAGAAGCTGTTAGCATAGAACACATTACACCAAGGCATTTCAAATGGAATAAAAAAAATAATTACTGCCAATATAGTAGTATGTTTAAATTCATAAAGTATAGATACTAAAGAGGAAATCTCATCATAACAATTCCAGAGTCTGTCTATATTTCTGAGATGAGGTATTATGTACAGTATCTACATTAGTCGGACTATTGTCCTCATCTTTGTCGCCATATTTGTCACAACGTTTCGGCCGTTGTAAGCTCCGGCCTTCTTCAGGTGGTAGGAATTTCGAACTGTACCCTTTATTTCGATCACTGGGGTAGACTGTTCTAGTTCCACGTGCCATGTTTGATGGATGTCAGTTATCAGTTATCTCTTGCTAATTTTCCCTCTGAAAGTTCTCCACTACCTTAACCAGGAATTGAACTCACCTTCTTTGGGTCTGTCATTAGATCTTTATCCACTGTGCCACTGTGGTATGAACTTCTGAGTATTATAAACCTAATGTTTTTCAAAAAAATCAAACCAGTGCTCATATTGCAATTTTTGTTGTTATCATTGCAATCTTTACCAGAGTTCATATTGCAACTTTGTTATCATTGATTTCTCTGGCACTTTATTACTGGTTCCTATATTGTATTTATTTCTATGCTTGGTCTATGCTGCACGGGATAGCGTACACTCAGTCTTTAGTCATGTTCTGAAGTCAAAATACCAGGTTATGACTAATAACATTGAATATACTTCTTTATACTATTTTAACAAGAAACTCTGAATACATACCAGAAGCACAAGATGATGTTTTTAGCAATAATAAAAAGTTTTTAAAAAATATATAATTTTGTAAGACATCATTTATGGGGAGAAAAACTGTTTAGCGTGATACCGTAAACCAACTTTTCAAGAAGGCGACTTAGCAAATGATTTAATATAATCTTTCCACTTCATGTCCGCGGAGAACGTTATTCCGAGAATTTGCAATGGGTCAGACTCCTACCAAACATCTATAAACGAGTAGCGGCCCGGGTCTAAAAATATTGGTTACCAGGAGACAAAGAACGTCCATTTTTTAATGTATAAACTTATCATTTCATTAAAATAAATAATATGAATATTCTAAAAAATACCGTGATAAATATCCATATATAATACGCAAAAAAGCTAAAAATAATAAGCATTTTCGAATTTGGGATGCGTATTATGCAGCTCAAAAAATCATAAAAATTGCTATTCATAGGTTGATTTAATTAAATATCTACTCACCACAAACATAATATAAATTTGACACTAACATTCGGCGATTGTATTTTGAAGGATGTCAAATACCATCATATATACCTAACAATACTTAGAAATGTAAAATAAAATGAAAATTATCATAAAACTAGATTAGAATAATATTATTCTATGTTTAAAACCATTTTTAATAAAAGTAGGAAAACTTTTATATAAAGTAAAATGAGAGGTACAATTTTATAAAATTTTTTAATTAATACATGGTTCATATTATGCGTAAGAATTCATTTTCCCACACATTTTTACAATTTTAGGGGTATATTATGGATGTAGGCATATTATACATATTAAGGAATTATGGAACATTTTTAAAGACAACAAATTATTATATTTTTAAAAATGTATCAAAAACGAATCGTTTTTTTAAATTATTATATATAATTAAAAGAGTTTGAATATTTTATTCGGAAGGATGTTATATAATTTTTTCAAATTTTTAAAGTTGATATTTTTAAATAAGTTATTACACAGTGTAAAAATTAGCAGATAGTAATTACTTGATATTTTCAAAATAAGTTATTAGAAATTTAATTTAAGAAAACTGTTCATCAAGAAAAATTATTTCCAATTATTTTAATATATAATTGATCGTTCAATTTATAATTTTAGAATTATAAAAATACATAAAATCATTTAATAATTCAAACTTTTTTATATATGAATATAACTTAATTGATATCCATGTCGAAAAATTTGTCATTTGTTGAAAATCATTTCGTGTTGGATATTACACTATCAAATCAAAAATATTTTTATTCGTGACATCTGCAACTTAATTTATTATTTTCATTCAAAATATTGAATTATTGAAAAATTTTTTTTTTTTATATGTTAAGTGTAAATATATATATTTATATATATATGAGAATCCCTGAATTAATCTAATTAATCTATTATATATTGTTTTAATTAATTTTATATAAATATATGAATTTAAATAAGTAATTTAGGATGCAAAAAAATTTTATTGTCGAAACAGGTAAATGTAATTTGAATTTAAAAAAATAAAAACAAAATTTTCCACTTTGTAGAATGGAAAAATTTGAAACATTATAATATAATAAATATATAACTATAATATTCATATATTTAAATAAAATCAAATTTTTAATATGAAAATTTTAAAAAATTTGATAGATTATAAATTTCCATTTTTTATTATCTTCACCTGTTGTAATATCTTTTATCAATAAATCCACTTATGAATTTATATTATGGGATTTAAATAAAAAATAAAAAATAAATTCAATGGATATGATTAAAAACATGATTCCAATCATTTTTTACAGTTAATTTCTTTTCTATGTAAAAAATTGTTATCTGTTCAACAATCGAAATTTCCCTCTTATCGTTTATTTTCATGTAGCAATTCTTTTATTTTTTATTTGATATTCCCCCGACTCTTTAAACAACAAAACCCAATCTTTTTTGGTCAGTCCCTTACTTTATATATATTTGTAATCATTTTTTCCGAAGGTTCATGTTGTGATTCTTATGGAAACTTTATCCTATAATAACATAATGATTTTGAAATAGAAAAAATATCGTAATAAATATAAAATACAAAGTTGAAATCAGATTTAAATTTTCAATTATTTCTATCAAATTATTTAAGTCATGGAAAATGTCTATTAAATTGACAGCCGTATCACAAAAGGTTTCAATCTCGGATAAAGAAAAAAATTATTCTGACGTTTTTAATTTGAATTTTTCGTACATATCAAAAATTTTTATACGAGTCCATCTTGTGTAAAAGGGCGAGCAAATTTTAATATATATATTTATAAATATTCATAGTAAAAAATTTTAGTCAATTTCAATATGTAGGAAAAGGTTTAACAGTATTTTTTTTTTATTTTTGTGTAAAAAAGAAATTGATGATGATTAACTGATAATAAAATTGATAAGATAATTTTAATCAAGTTAATTATATGAGGCTTTAAAATTTTGTTTATTATCAAATAAAAAAAATTATGTAAACAGTTCTAGTCAATGAATAAACTTTATTCAGAGTTTAGAGTCTCCAAATGTCAACCAACCACAAACACGATTGATTCATCAAAAGCCAAATCAATTTAAATTTAGTTATAAATTCTAACATATTCATTTCACGGGAAAACCTTTATTTATTCTTGAGTTCTTGTATCTCATTTTATATACAAATATCCTTTAGGGTATTTCTAAACCAATAAGTCAAAGAGGGTGTTAGATCAGGGGAATGTTATATTCAACCTGAAATAAATGTTCTATCCAACGATAATTGAAAGATTCTTCTACGAGATAAGTATTTGGAACAGGCAAAATGAGGCATATAATCCTGTTAAATGACAAAAAGTCTATATTTATACATTATAAATTATCAATAAATAAATTTTCAGCAAATTGGTGTCTCTGTTTTTCATTTGCAATCTTTTCTCTTAAAATTATTTGAATCCAAACTGCAAAACTTAAACTGGTCGATCCGTGTCAAAGAATTGCCTATAGCAAAAAGTTAGAGACAATTGTTTTCTTTTTTAATCAAAACGAAAAACTTGAATGGTGTACATGAATAAATAAAGACAGAATAAACGGTTTTTATAAAACATTCCTCGTGAAATGCGTGTCATATATTTTTGTTTTTGTTGATCGTTGTTATTTTTTTCATCTATCGTGCTGGTGTATCATGGAGACTATTCATTAACTTATTTCCAATTCTAAATAATAATAAATTGTAAATTTTTTTTTTATAATTTTGACTCATATTTTCAATCAGCGTCTGAGACTAAAAAAATAAATGAATTATTGAAAATCTTCATAAAAGCATTTTTTCTTTTATATTCGTATAAAATTTTAATGAAATAAATAAAAGTTGTGAACGTACATTAAAATAAATACTGTTGCCTTCAAATTCATTTTGATTAAAAAATTTTTCAGGTTTAATGGTCTTTCAAAAGAACTTTTTAAAGAATAAAAATATGATCCAAAAATCCAGTACAGATGACAATATTATTAAACGCCTTTTAATATTCTTTAATATATTAAGCAAATTTTCAATATATTCTCCTTGTTGTAAAAATGCCAAAAAATCAAAGATGTTATACTTGCAGAATTGCTGAGATCTTTGGTTAATTATATAAATGTTTTTTGCATAATCCAATCTTTTTATAAAAAGTTTTTTATCTATCTAGGAAACGATATTCCTCTATTTTTTAAACTATCTGACTTTTGGTATCAGGTTTGCTTAGAAAATAAAACGAAATCTCCTCTGGTATTTGATGAAAATTCAGGTTATAGGATTCAAAAGGAATCTTAATTAACTTTTTGTGATCAAGGAAATGAAAGTATGGTCTATCGCTCTAATCAAGACAAGACACTCTCAATCCTATTCTATGTATCTATCTATCTATCTATCTATCTATCTATGTCCAATCGTATTCCTGTTCCTCTCTCTTTCATCTATCTATCTATCTATCTATCTATCTATCTATCTATCTATCTATCTATCTGTTCAATCGATTTTTATTTCTAGTCAGGTTCTTGTTTCTATCTCTATCTATTATCTAATCTATCCCCTATTTATCTATCTATCTATCTATCTATCTATCTATCTGTTCAATCGTATTTCTGTCCCCCTTCTCTCTCTCATCTATCTATCTATCTATCTATCTATACTTGTTTTGTCATATTCCGTCCTTCTCTTCTTTCTATCTGTTTCAATCGTTTATTCACTAAACTGTCTGGATTTCTCTCTCATCTATCTAATTTCATCTATCTATCTTCAACTCATTTCCACACTGCATTCATCTATCTATGTATCTATCTATCTATGCCTGTTTACATAATTTTTGTTCGTCTATATGTAACACTGGTTATATACCAAATTTATTAAAAATGCTGAATTAGGATAATTTTGACGCGCTGAGTCCAATGTCACATTGGTTTTGCTCAATCAAGTCAACTTTCCAAAACAAAGCTAATAATCAAGTTTATTTTTTTGACATGTTTGTTTACATGACAGATGTATTTTCATCATCCTATGATGCAGAATTCTTTATATTTCCATGCAATAAAACGAATTCTGAAGATTTTAACAGTAATGCAACTTATGACTAATTATTTTTTTATAAGGTGAATTAAATGGTTTTGACTGTGTGATCTTGCAAAAATAAGCTCTAACGCAATGAAAACATCTGCAATGAATAAACCATTTAACAGGAATCAAGTAAATTTCATAAAAGAATAGTCATTAATATTCTTATTTCAACTAGCAGCATGGTCCGGCGTTGCCGATGCTTGATTCAAAATCGTACGACTCATACAGCAATCGCTATCACTTGACTTAAAATATTTTTGCCCTTCCTTGCCTTTTAAAGGAGTGCCCTTTTGCCGTGCTGATGTTGCTACATGCCTTACTTTTGCCTATCTCACACTGCGAATTTTTTTCTAAGCTCTATACTAAACATTAAATCTGTTATGAAAAAAGAACTAAACAAAATGAACACAAAACTATCAGCTTTAAAAAAGGACTCGTAACTGGAAAAACCGAATGAAAAAAGAATGTTAACAACAAATACTTTTTCACACCAAACCCAGTTCTGTGGAATCGCAATTAACGTTGAGTTTAAGCAAGCGAATAAGCCAATTGGAGTAAAGTGCCATGCAGATTGAAATTTTTCCCACTTGTGACGAATGCAGCTATCGATTTTTTTGCATGCTAGCATGCTAGTTAACATTCGTGTCAGTCAGCTGTTGGCTCTCACGCTGGCCAATAAAATCTTCCTGCCTATTCGTGGCAGCCAACTATAGGCTCTCACTCTGGCCAGTAGAAAATGGCCGCAAACTACATGAAAAGTGCCGTAGAAGCATGAAAAAATCGATTATTTCCACTATCGATGGGAGTTGTACGTATCTGTTAAAACACACACACACACACACACACACACACACACACACACACACACACACACACACATCCTGCCCAAAGTCGGTTCGAATTTTTAAGTTTGGAGGGGGCACAAAACCCTGTCATTTATCTTCCCGCGCTCTTTATGTGACTGAGATCAAAGAAAGGCCAAAAAGCCCCAAGTATTTGACTTTTAACAAATTATCCTGTAGCCATGTGTGAAATTCGTACCCCCCTTGGGGACTTTCCACATCAGTGACAAAAGGGCCCTTTCCATCTTTCCAAAAAAGGTAGTTTTAACGAAAGATCCACATTTTTTTCCCCCCAAAAAAGATAAAGATCAGTTTTATTCATTTGTTTTCTGGGGATTTTATCCAGATTGAAGGAAATAACCTCCCTTTTCCAGTGTTTTTGCATCAATTTTTTCCGCAACAGGCATCGTTTTTCCGTCCTGATATGACGATAAAAACCCTCCGCGTCCAGGGGAAGACGATAAATATCCAACAGCAAGGGTTTTTGACGGAGGTTTTAAGGGGGAAACCCCCTCTTAATTGTTTTGCCCGTTCCAGGGGGGGCCCAACCCCC